AAGTTATAGAGATGACTTGAAAATTAAAGTTATAGAGATGACTTGAAAATATGGCTTCATGGAGCCATATTCCAATCTCTTTTTACCACTACAAGATTCTTTCTCACCACTTCCCTGTATAAACCCTCTGAGTGGGGGGGGAAAAAAAAAAAAAAAAAGCCAACCTCAATACATACTGTATTATGCCATTTATATTCTTGAAACAATAAAGTTATAGAGATGACTTGAAAATTAGTGGTTACCCAAGGTTAGAAATCGGAGAAGAGGGAGTGAATGTGGTCATAAATGGATAGTATGAGGGAGTTTTGTGATGATGGAACAATTTTGATTGTTCATTGTGGTGGTGGTTACACAAATCTATACATGTGATAAAAAATGCATAGGCATATAACATGCAGACAAAAATGAATACATGTATAACTGGTAAAACCGGAATAAATCCTACAGATTGTACCAATCCATATGGATCATCAGTTTCCTAGTTTTGCTATCATGCTGTCGTTAAGCAAGATGTTTACCACTGGGGAAATTAAGGGCATATGGAAATTCCCTGTACTTCTTTTCTGTGCAAATTTCTGTGAATTTATAATTATTTCAAAAACAATTTTAATGGTAAAGTGTAGTTAACTTAAAAAATGGGGGAAAAATTGAAGTTTTTAGTGAAATTACAATGAAATTGGGCCCATCATATTCCAATTGTTCTAAAACTAAAATAACAATTTCAGAATGAGGAGGAGAAAGGTTATCAGTACAAAAGTGCTCAATTCTGAATGACAGAAACTCTGAGACCATGTCAAACACTGGTAGCTGGATCATTCTAAAAAGTTATTTAAAAAAACAAAAACCAAACCAATCAAAGAAGCGAAAACAAATCAATGTGCCTTAACTTCTGTTCGGAATGATTTGCTCTTCTTAGGATGAAAGGTTCATGTATATACCTACATCTATCATGTGAAAAATCTATCATGTATGGTAGTGGAGTGTACAAGAAACTAACACAGTGTAATGAAATCTGAGATTAAAAATAGACACAAAAATAGAATAAAGGAACTTTCATGCACTAACAAAGCACAATTATGAAACTCTAAGAGTGAAAGGATGAAGAGAGTTTGGTTAATGGGTACAGACATACAGTGATATAGAAGAAATAAGTTCTAATGTTTGACAGCAGAGTAGAGTGACTATAATGAACAATAATGTATTATATATTTCAAAATAGCTAGAAGAGAGGACTTGAAATATTCCCAACACATAGAAATGATAAATACTGATGGTAATGGGTTCCCTAAATGCCCTGACTTGATCATTACACATTCTACACATGTAATATATAATATCACATGTACCCCATAAATATATACAAATATTCTGTATTGAAAAAAAAACCTCTAAGGAAAGGAAAAACCCTCTGAAGTCCTGTGTTATTTACCTACAGGATAGTCCTCAGTATAAACATTAGGTGGGATCTTGTTCTCTTGGGCTGACAGTAGCTTTGGAATGCCAGAATGTTCTAGTAAATTTTTTTTGTCTTCCACCTTCAAACAATAACCAGTTTTATGCAAGATTCTTACACAGTGATGGTGTGAATATAATAGTGGCTTTAAGCATTTTATTCTTGCAGAATTCAGATGTTTTGCACAAGTATACATTAATTCTTTCTAAAATCCCAGTTTCGTTAGTTATTGATTAATGGGTGGTAACCATAGGCTGTTATATTAGTTGGCTTTAAAAATCATAAGGCATTGTATAAGTAGAGGCATTATACCTATTTATCAGGGTCACAAGTAGGTCCTCAGCTGCCAGGTAGCACCATATACCTTAAAGAAGTCTCTAGGATAGCAAAATGGGTGGCAGACATAGGTGCAATTACTCACGCCCAAAGATGCAATCATTAATTCTGGAACTGAAGCAGAGTTGATAACTTCAAAATGGATCAACTAAGTTGGACCAAGCATGACTATCACCCCTCCAAAAAAAAAAAAAAAAAAAAAACTTCTTTGGAATGTCTTATAATAGACAATTATATTATTTGTTTGTTTGCTTGTTTGTTTTCTTATTTATGGTCTGTTTCCTCAACCTGTACATAAGCCCCAGACTTCACCTGGCTTCTGCACATTTGCATACCAGTTGAGTGAGTTTCCTGATATAGAATAGGTGCCCAATAAATATTTGTTGACTATGCTGAATGGATGAGTACCTCTTCATTAAACAACATTGCTGTTTGACAATTTTTGAGTTGTAGACCATTTTCAAATTCTGTTGAAAGCAGTAAACCCTTACCTCAGAAAAATGCACAAAAAGACTTTTTAAAAATCTTCTATTGGATTTATGGATCCCCTTTAAAGCTCTGCCCATGAAAACCATTTTCAAGGATGAAATTGTGACCACAATTAGCCACTAACTTTCCATTTTAGTTATTTCAGGCATTCTCCAGATGGCTTACCTAAACCAATTATCTTCCCTATTCTATGGCATTATTTTTGTATTTTCTGCTATTTGTTATCATTAACAAATAGTCCATATATGCACATTATATTTTAGCTAAAACAATGTAAAAAAGGATAATTTAGCTAATAAAAGTTACTCCTATCATTTTTTATAAAGTACATAGTTAGTCTCCTTCCCCTTTTAACCCTAAGAAAGCTTGGTGTACATTTGGCATAATTTCATAATCTCCTTCATAAAGGTCACTCAGAGTAGAATCTGAAACAGAAGAGTAAGTCACATTCACACACACACAGGCAAACCTCCTGACTGTTATAGATGGAGTGGCTTGGAATATGAGCACAGGTGAACAAGAGGCATCTTGTTTGGTTACCTTAAGAAACAAAGTATACTGAAGACCCCAGATGGCTAACTTTTTGTTAGAGAACTGTCTTTAGTTGTCAGTAATGAAAGGTGCCCAAGTGAACCTTGCTCACACCCTCAGCTTTTGGGAAGCAGAGAGTTATCACTCAACAGAGTTGAGCTGTGCCACCAGAAAAACCTTAATACTTTAAAGGAAATCTCCTGACTTCCAAAGGCCTTCATAACAGCAAACTCTTCCAACACAATCATCAAGCAACTATGAAATTCTGCCTCAAGAAATTAGTGATCTTACTTTGTATTTCTTCTGATTTACAGAAAGAAAGTTCATAGTGCTGCTAAAGTACTAGAGGTCACAATTTAAACCACCTTCTGTGATCTGCCTTAACCCTGGAGGGTCCTGTTCCTGGGGACCTTGCCCAGGAAAGCAGCTGCTCATCTCCATCTCAGTAGCTGAAATGCATGCAGAGCAGGACTGTGTCCACAGGGCAGGGGCTGTGTGTGTGCCCCAGCAGCAGCTGTAGAAAACATCAGTGGACTCAAGACTACAGTCTCATTTAGAGAACTGTCATTGTGGTGCCCCACTCTCTCCATCACAGGGATGTCAGGAAAAGCAAAGCCACTTACATAGCTGGTGCTTCAATGAGTCAGGCTGCTTACATTTGTACTGTAGCTGGGGCAAAAAGAGCTTTAGTTAAGGTTGTTTTGCTTTTTCCCACCCAAGGACGTTTTTTCTTAATGGCTCAAACATATATCAAAACAATAGTGCTTGACGTTTGTGCAATGAGAAACTTTCCTGTAACTCTGCAAAGAAACTTTTTTCAAGGGCGACTTTTATAAAAATAGGTTTAAATGCTTTATTTCAGCAACACCACATGAGAAACACAGTGTTGCCTATGCATTATTTTAATTTAATTAACTTCATCCTATCCTAAAACCTGATTCCTAACAAAGACAAGAGTTAGTTAGATGTAGATAATTAACAAAATCATATCTACAAACTGAAGTAACCAAAGTTTTTGGAAGATGTGTTGGTAGCTTCTCTCCTCTACATTCACAAACACTTTTAGAAACTAGAAGCAGAGTAGTTTTACAGAAATAAAGTCAGAGGGACTTGGTACAAAGCAAATGTAATGAGGAGGCAGGAGTCACATAATTGAATAATGAAATTTTCTACTTATCAAATGTAAGTCATGCCCCATTAGACAGAGCATCCACTATTACCAGGATGATTCCAACTATGGAAAACAGCACAGAGGATGCGGAAGCTTTAAAATTTATGAGGAAACTAGTAGAACTGCAACAATTTACATTTTCTCCTTATTTCACAAGGTCTACATTTTATTTCAAGCAGTATTTAGGCTTAAATATGGCAGTATTCAATCTAATTTACCATTGTAGGTGGTTTTTCCTGCAAGAAAGCTTCTTTAAAAAGCTTTCTATAGCATTTGTTAACTTGGTCTTTCAAAAGAAAAATAAGTTTGGGCGTGGTGTTTTAATCCTGTAATCCCAGCACTTTGGGAGGCCGAGGCGGGCGGATCACTTGAGGTCAGGAGTTCGAGACCAGCCTGGCCAACATGGTGAAAGCTCTTCTCTATTAAAAATATAAAAAACGAGCCGGGTGTGGTGGAAGGCGCCTATAATTCCAGCTACTCAGGAGGCTGAGGCAGGAGAATCGCTTGAACCCAGGAGACTCTGTCCCAGGAGACAGAGCCCAGGTCGTGCCACTGCACTCCAGCCTGGGCAACAGAGCAAGACTCTGTCTCAAACAAAACAAACAAAAGATAAATAAGAGAGCAGTACTAGATGGGAAACTATTTCTGATAGTATAATCCCAGAAACTACAGTCTTTACCATAAAACAGAACAAACACATTTGCTATTGAAAAACTATCCTGATCTAAATACCAGTTACAGCAGTTGTGTTTTTTTTCTGGGTACTGAAATGTACATAGTTCCTAAGATGTTCATAGGACTTTAGAATTATACAAAATGGGCCACATTTTTAAAAATCTTCTACACACACAACCACCCTGGGTTTATTCATCCCCCTAAGGAGCTATTTTAGAAGCACCTGAGAATTCTGAAGTGAGCAACCCACTGATGAGTAAGTCACTTTTCAAAACCGATGGGCTGTCTCCACTGCACCTGTATAGAACCTGGATACCCCGCGCAGAGGGAATCTTACGTGCATACCTATATTTCATGCCAGTCTGCTTTGCGGTGGACTCTTTGAGAGAAATGTGATGCTGAGGCGTGAACGTCCCCAGGCTGCGCGCGATGATAGCGACCGTGCGGAATTTGGCCCGGGCTGCGTTCACCACATTGGGGGCGGTGGAGCTCTGCTTGCTTAGAAGTCGGTCCTCACCATTCCGACTCTTCAAATTGTGCTCTGTGCAGGCTATGGAGACTTGCATTGCTTCCCCAGGCAGCGCACGGTCCCTCTCAGAACCCCAGAACACAGGCAGTCACGAGAGGCTGAGCAGTTGGGGGGATTCCTGCTTTTCTTTTAAGCCCTCCTTGCTCCCCCTTCCTGGGGATGCCGTCAGAGGAGTCCTGGCGGCTGACTTCCGAGTCAAGCCCACAAAGTGGCACAAGGGGCTGCGATGCCGGAAAGAGTCCCGGGGACCCAGAGAAGTAAACAGACGGCCCCGAAGTTGTCACAGCAGCTGGAGGGAGAATCAGGCTTGCAAATCTTCCCGGGCTGTAATCTCGGCTGATTAAACAGCCAAATCCATGCAGTGGGGAGGTTTTTACAGAAGCCTAGAGCTGAGCATTCATGGTGACTGCATGCAGCCCTTCGCCGAGCCGGTCCGCGGTGTCTGAATGCGGGCTCGCTTCTGGGCGATGGCTCAAATCAGCGCAGGCTTACCGCAAGATGCGCCGCCAGCATCCCCTGGACCACAGGCAGGATGCTCAACTGGCGCGCGGAGCATCCCAAGAAGCAGCTAATGGCAAGCGGGTCCCCGCGGACTGGTGGTCTCCATCCACTCCGGCTGTCAGCTCCCTCCCGCCTCCGCTCCAGGAGGACGTGGGGGCTCCTCAAGACCCCTCCCCACTCATTCTCGAGCAAAAACCTGGGTTACTGAGCCTGCACCAACACGGGTTTGCAGCTGCAAGGAGCAGCAGGCAGGTCCCTTTAAGGAGCTCTTTGCCTTTGTGTGCGATGGGAAGGCAAGGATCACTTGCACCAGACTCTTGCTGTAGCGAATCGGGAGGGTTGCTCCATAAAAAGGGGCTCTGCCCAGACTCAGACCAAATCTGCTGCAGCACAACAGTTGGAACTGGGGGAAGACAGAGAGGGGGTGCTTCTGCCGCGGAACACGCCAGTGAATTAACACGTGAATACTCTGTGACTGGCTTGCTGAAACACAGCTCGAAATCCCTTTTATTAGCCTTGTCAGAGTTCCTTTCCTCTCTGCAAGTTATTTCTCAAGCAGATAAGTTTGAAGTTTCCTGAGATGCCACAGTGCAGATTTTTTGGAATCAACTCTGCGAACTTACTGCAAAATTTATTCCGGCTACCAGAGGAGGGACTGGGATGGGGGAGGAGCAGCAATCCAGCACCACCCAGGAGGGTGCTGCACTAGGTGTGCAGCAGGTCCACAGCACCACCCAGCAAGGTCCAGGCATGTGGCTGAGACCACATACACTGCCCATTCATCATCTGTGCCCAGCTATGAGGACAATCACTATATCCTATCTCCAGGTCAGGTGGGCAGTAAGACATCCCTGGGGACTCTGAACCCACATGAGGCAGGAATATTTTCTGATTTGATGTCAGGTGCAAAGCAATTCCTCAATAAATGTGACTGAACCAAACTAAGCATCAATTGGCTGGTAATTTACTTTCCATTTGAAATGTATGGAAACCAAACCCTCTCGCAGATTTACTTACAATAAAATTATGGCTTCTGCAAAATCAGCTTTCTAAATGTGGTTCCCAACAGACACTGCTGTCAAGCAAAAATAACCAGTATTTAACTCAACAATATTTCTGAATACCATCACCGTATTAGTCAATGAAGACCAATATGGAGAAAAAAGGAAGCACTGTCCCCCTCCTCAAGGAACAGGCCATCTGGGAGGGAAGGACAAAATATTCAGCCTTAAAGGGTCTGACTAACAATGTTGGAAGGCATATTATGACATATCTGAATGGGTGGCACGGACACTAAGTACACTAGAGAAAGTACACTGGAGAAAGTTGTTCATTTTGATTCATTCCCCACACTTCTACAAAGTCCCTGACTTGACTTGTTTCTGGGCCACAAAGATGTGGCTGAAACAGAGGCTGGGCCCTCAAGAAGCTCATGGGTGCCCAGGCGACCCTTCTAGAAGAATGAGACTTTACCTGGGACATGAAAAATGGGTTGAATTTGATTAGCAGGAGAGGAAGAAGGCAGTGATCCCAGGAGTTGCCAGGTTTGGACAGGACACACTATCTATGTGATTTAAAAAATAGCTGGTCTGGCCATTTCTTCCCAACTAGATTAAACTGTAGGAATAAAATTTTCAAGTAGAATATATGCCTGTGTTGCGTTCTATTCCAAACATGAATTTAACATTTTACAACCTGCAGATAAGATTTAAATCAGATTATAGAACCTCATCATTCACTCTCCACAACCTTCCCACTGTTTACTTTAAAAAATAAACATACTGACTAATGTTCAGTGATTGAGAAGTAACTTTAGAATGAGTGAGTGTTGTGGGAAGGAAAAAATAAGTCTGGGACCCCTTCTTGTATGCTCAGCTCTGAGGGAGGAGTACTTGAAGCATGTCTTTACTCCCTGGATAAACAACAGTGGGCAGAGAGGAAGACAGATCATTAGAACCTTTATTTTTTCACACTCAGCCGGCTCATCAGAGATGATCAATGTGAATTGGGAAAGAAGTCAAAATGAGAAGAGGAAGAAGTGGGAGGAATCAGAAGGAACAGCTCAGAAAAGGAAAAAAAATAAAGCAGTCTGGGAGGCGAGAGACAGTGAATGAATAATCATCGGACCAGAGGGGTCAGGAGCCAGGAACTTCAGCTTGGACACTGGCTGAGCGGGAGGAGATGTGTGGGTGGCTCAGAGATGAGGTGGAGTGCTGTCAGTTCCACAGGGAGGACAGAAGACCTTGAAGGTCTGGACGCTGTAAGCTGAAGTGGCTTTCAGCCTTGCCAAGAACTAGCAGAGCAATGTCTGAAAGCATAACCAACAGCAGAACAGGGAGTAGGTTATCAGAATGAAACATGCAAGGCAGAGTGCCTCTTAGTCACCTTTTTATCCCCCATAGGACCAAGCAGAGTGCCTTGTGTATAGCAGGCCCTCACTCTATAAATAATTGAGAGAAGGAGATAAGAAAACAAAGAAAGGAAGAGGGAGGAAGAAAGGAAGGAAGGTAGGTGGATGGGAAGATGCCATATTCTTGGATAAACTTGATTCCTTAAAAAAAGAAAGAAAGAAAATCCTGCACGTTCTAGTTTAAGCACAGCCAGCTCACTTGAAAGGAGTGTATAATTGCCCCACATTCATGTCTGCACCTCTTGTGTGTAGATGAGTGTCCCAGCCTTTAGGACATGCCTCAAAGAAAATCAAAGACCTGAGGCCAGAGGATGCTCACAGTGCCAGTCTCTTTCTGGCTGCCCACAGTGCACCTTTTCAGATCCGACACCACATGGGCATTCTGACTGCCAGCCAGCAGCTTGGTGGCTTCCCCCAGCCATGCTCCCCTTCCCAGCGTTAATGGAGCAGTCGGTCTCAGGAGCCCAGAAATTAGATAACGTTTGGCTGAGAAAATGCTCATTCTTAATAAGTTTGTGCTAAGAGGCCACATGCCAATTAGACTTGGAATATATATTTTTTCATTGTCACATCATAAGATCAGGAAAAGTCTTCAGTGTTATCAATTCAGGTTTCAGTAAGACCCATAAACATAGATATAGATGTGGGTGTAAATATAGATATAGATATTGTTTTCAACTGGCTTGTGTTCCCTCTAAATTCATGTGTTGAAGCCCTAACCCCTACTACCTCAGAATGTGATTGTATTTTAAGATAGGACATTAAAGAGGTAACTGAGGGAAAGTGAGGTCATATGAGTGGGCCCTAGCCCTAACCCAATGTGACTGGTGTCCGTATAGAAAGAGGAGATTAGGACACAGATATGCGAAGCCCATGGGAAGGCACAGGAGAAGACGACTATCTATCAGCAAAGGACAGAAGCCTCAGAGAAAACCAACGCTTCAAGTACCTTGATCTTGGACTTCTAGCCTCCAGAATGGTGAGGAATTAATTTTCTGTTGTTTAAGCCACCTAGTCTGTGGTTCTTTGTTATAGTAGCTATAACAAATTAATACAGATATAGACATAGTTTGTTTTTACTTTAATTCTTATATCATTACTCGCAAGAAACTGTTGGAGTTCACTGATGAAGGTGCCTCTAAAAGTTACTAGATCATGATAACTATCATTATTATTCCACCCTAATGCAACCTATATACAAAGTTGTATTTGGAGCTTTTTTTTTTTTTTTTTTTGAGATGGAGTCTCCCTCTGCCACCCAGGCTGGTGGCTCACTGCAACCTCTGCCTCCCGGGTTCAAGCAATTCTCCTGCCTCAGCCTCCTGAGTAGCTGGGATTACAGGTGTGCACAACCACGCCTCGCTAATTTTTGTACTTTTAATAGAGACAGGGTTTCACCATATTGGCCAGGCTGGTCTCAAACTCCTTACCTGATCTGCCCACGTCAGCCTCCCACAGTGCTGAGATTATAGGCGTGAGTCACCGTGCCCAGCCTGGAGCTCTTTTTTGGAGCACATTGTATATAGGTTGTATAGAGTGAATGATAATGATAGTCATCATGATTTAATAATAAAGTGCTTGAAAATCACCTCTTCTTGTATCAAAAGCCACCATATAGAGGCTTTATTACTTTGTGAAATTGATTTCCTCTTGTTTTGTGGATACACTGGGGTAGTTTTTTTAAAAAATAGATATGGAGGTTGCAACATTGCACAGGGCCAAATAATCACTTACTCTTACGCTTTGCCTGAGTCTCAGCTGGTCCCTATTTGTTATGTAACATGTGGAATTCTTTGGCATTAATGTCTCCCATATTGGGTCATGGTGACAGAGCTGGTTAGGAACAGATCACAGGCTACATAGCTCATATGCCAATGCCCTGTCTCCTCATGCTCATCTTAGAGTCTTCATGGTAACTCAAAGGACTTTAGGGTGTAGAGTCAGCTGGAGTTGGGTGTGAATCCCAGCTCTACTCTGCCCCTCCTTCCTGTGTGCCATTGAGCAGGATGCTTAACCTCCCTGAGCCTCAGTATCCTCAGAGAGATAAAATAGTGCAAGAACATGATTCTCCAGGAAAGGTGCTATCATTATCAACTCCATTCTACAGATGAAGAAACATGACACTGCCGGGCGCGGTGGCTCAAGCCTGTAATCCCAGCACTTTGGGAGGCCGAGGCGGGTGGATCACAAGGTCAGGAGATCGAGACTGTCCTGGCTAACATGGTGAAACCCCGTCTCTACTAAAAATACAAAAAACTAGCCGGGCGTGGTGGCGGGCGCCTGTAGTCTCAGCTACTTGGGAGGCTGAGGCGGGAGAATGGCGTGAACCCGGGAGGCGGAGCTTGCAGTGAGCCGAGATCACGCCACTGCACTCCAGCCTGGGAGGCACAGCGAGACTCCGTCTCAAAAAAAAAAAAAAAAAAAACATGACACTTAGAGAAGTTAAGTAACTTGCCTAAAGTGACACAGGCACACTCAAATTTAACTTGAGGCAGCCTACCTCCGGACACTTGGTTCTTACCCACTGTGCACAGTGATCCTCACTGCAAGAACTTCCTTATGACAGGGGCTTTAAATCATGTCATTTTATGAATATAGTTTAAAAGAAACCCCGATATTTTTATAAGTGATAGAAATAATTTCCATTTAAAAAGAGTAAAGATTTTAGAACAACTAAATCACCTATGCTTGGTAGCTTTTGAGGATGTCTGTTATTAACATGTTCAAATACTTCATGATACTTTATTCCTGTTGCTCAAAAAAATTTTTTTTCCAATCACCTGGCAAGTTACTGATTGATTAAATGTCTTGCCAGTAAAGTCAGAACCAAACATTTTTAACTAGGTCCACTCAGAACTTATGGTTTATGTTCCATTGGAAACCACAGTCAACAGGGGACAGAAAACAGTTATGCAGCCAGGAAAAATTGGGTTTATCCAAAACAGAAAAGAATGCTAATATTAGAAGAATTTAAACATGCAAGTATACAGATGACCCTGTTTTTGTGGCTATCATTTGTGATTAAAAGAAGAATCTAGGA